GCAATAAAACATGTGGATGGCAATGCCTGATCATGACCTTACATTTACAGGAAGAATAAAAAGACCCAGCATTGCACAAATCTGTAAATGGATGAAGCAAGCTTGGGATAATATTAGACCAGGAATTATTGTGAAATCTTTTAACAAGTGTGGCATTAGCAATGCTCTCAATGGAACGGAAGATGATGCATTGTTTAACAATGATGATAGTAGTATTAAAAATGAGTATCAGTTTTGATAATGAAGACGAAAAATTTTATGGGTTTGAAGATGAATAAAATTCTAATGGTAACTGTGCTCTTTTGTTCAATTATAATAATTGCTTGATTTTTATTTTGTTTTCTTACCTTTGGATATAATAAAGTAGCCTCGTGTTCTTTTTTTTCCTATTATTTTTCATTTAATTGTAATCATGGCTTGTTTAACTAAAATAATACCTCATAAATATAGTATAGGCTGTACCATTTACTAATAATTTTACTAATTACTAATTTTTTCTTGATTTGCCCTGCTGAAATTGGGGTGTGTCTTATATGCCGTCAAATATGGAAATTCTCTAAATTCATTAATTGATCTCATTTTTACTCATAAATTCTTCTTGCTTTTTTCTGTTTGGTTGATTTTTGACTCTTTAAAGAAATTGCTGTTTCCAAATAATCAAAATAATCTAATGGAATTCAACTTTGAAAATTTTCATACTGAATAAAGAAAAATTGCTGATATCAAATCAATCAAAATAATGCCATGTGTCATTCCATTTATTTTGATGGGAATAAATTTCACTGAATATAAAAATTCAAACTGAATTCTCTTTCTCATCATTTGTTCTAAATCTGTCTTTGACAAAACTTAACCATAAAGTGAAAACCTTTTATCAAATATTACAATTTGTGTAGATCTTTTATTCCCTCACCTGTCTTTTTTTCTTTGTGCAGTATGCTAAAATTATTTTTGCTTATTTTAATCACTGATTTTGATGAAAACATGTCCAATTTCCTGCAGATAAATATCTGTATACATACAACAGCTATAATCACATGACATTCTGATAATTCTTTTAGGGAGAAAACCTAAATAATGATTTAGTGAAGATGACTTTCACCAAGGAGAGTTTTGATAAACATTTTGTACTGTTGTATTGGTGTTGGCCACTTGAAGATACTACCAGTAAAAATTTAAACTGTTTTTTTTGTATTTAAACACTCCTGTTTTAAAAGATATTCAGTTTGATCAGTTACAGACATGTGATGTTCTATCATTAAGACTGACTCCTCCCATACAGCAAAGATTACATATGAAAAGATTGAGATTGCTCAGTTGGGGAAAAAAAATCTGCACCATATTCACCAGGTTTTGCTCCATTTGATTACCACCTAATCACAAATCTACAAATCCATTTTGATGTACTAGTTCACTAAGCTCTTTTCCTCCAAACTAAAAAACTTTTACTTCTTGTTTTATGAAGACCCTTCTTAACAAAACTATCTTGAGGTACAAGTTCTCAAACACATAAAAAGGTGGAAACCACTTTCTTGGCACTTTTCATCAAAACCAAAAGACTTTTTACAAAAACAGTATGAGGAATCTTGTGAAGTATTGGCAGAAGATAATAATCTCTTGCTAATGATTCACAAGCTTCATAATACCATTCTTGGAACATGTTTGTTGTGGAGTTATTTTCGCAGTGGAGGCTTGTATTTGTACTAAATCGGTCCTAAATAGGTTCGAAGTACAAAATGTTAGGAACTTCATATAATAGGTATTACGCAGAATAATCTGGTTGTGGTCGCTGACTACTTTCATATTCGACTGTCGACTACTGTCATCCGACATCAACTGACCCTTGTTTCTCTTACTACTCCTACTTATATTAGGTGGGAGAGTCTATTAACTATAGAATAGGTGTGTTTCACCATAACACCCCCTCCTAAAACTTTACTCTGTAGGAGTAAAACAGTTTTCTTTATTTACTTTTTACAGGAAATATGAAGAAAAAACCAAAAAAACCTTCATTTTTTTTAGCAACATCGTAGCGTATCTCCTACGTTTTGGATCCACTTTTAAATGATCAGTTACCTTTCTTTTTCTCCTGGATTGGCATACCTCAGGTAAAATCGTTGCAGGCATTGTTAGATCAAACGTATCGAAAATCACCTCCATCAGCATTTCTTCTACGGGACCGCTGTCAACCACGTCTGAAGAGCGTCGTCTGATCTGGTTAATGGGCCATCTGCACGTGAATTTTTCGCCTTTCACCAAGTACATCATATTGCCAATCCACTTTTCTATTGGTAGAGGATAATTATAGTCTTTTGAATGCCGCGTTTAAACCCGTCAAGAAATCAGCACAAACACAAATTTCTTTTGACTTTTTTTTCACATATACCGTCAGTGTTGCCCATTCACTATACTCAACTTTTTTAAGTACACTGGTTTTCTCTCATCTGTCCAATTCTTTATCTATCTGTTCAATTGAGGCAAACGGCACATACCTTTTTCTTTTTGAATATCGTCTGAGCGTTTTCTTTTAGCTGGAATTTTGCCTCCATCTTGGTACATGTTCCCAACCCTGGAGAAAAAACAGTAGGAAATGTTTCCTTAAGTTTCTTTATTAATTTTTGGGCTTCGGTGTTTAAACTTTTTACCTTGTAACAGAAGGAATTTATCGGTAAATCCCATAATTGGAATTCTGTTATCCAATTTGTACCAAGTAAGTTCATTGTATTTTCTATGACAAATAGTTTAGCTTTTCGCATTTTTTTTATTTAACATGACGTTTGTAACAAATTCCCCAATAAATTGTATTTTTTCTCCCATCACTGACCTCACAATTTTCTTTGTCTTCATTAAAGTCGGTTTCTCCAACTTCTTCCACGTATGCAAATTTATGATAGATAGATCCGAACCAGTGTCAAGTTGCATTTTTATATTTTTATTACTTATTTCGACGGTAACAAATTTTCTGGTTATTCCATCTTTTACCTCATTGGACTTTAATTTTCTTATTTTATTGTCTTTATTTTTTGACCTGCAATGTGAGCTTTTATGACCCACTCTTTTACAGTTGAAACATTTTTTATTCCTAAAATCACAACCAGTGTAGTTCATCGCACACAAAATATGGCTTCAGGAGTTTTTGCTTATTTTTCTCTGGTATTTCACTTTTTGCTTGATAATCCGCAATTTTAGAATTCTTTTTGGTAGACTGACTTTCTTCTTTGTAATGTATTTTCTTTACATGCGAAACGCCAGACTGTTCTTGGATCGCTTTCCAATTTTGCCAGTACTAATTTTCTCAACTCTGCATTTCTTTCCTGATATCATCCCCTGAACAAACACCAAGTACTTAAAATTGTCTGCGCTTAACTCTACCAGCTTGAATTATTCACAATGTTTATTCACATTGGCTGCGTATGTTATATAGTCTTGTTCGTCATCTTTCATCAGATTCAAACATTTCCACCTCTTGTGAAACAAAGATGTCTTTTTACTAAATAATTCACTTAATATATTTACCACCTCAGTAAATGTCAACTCGCTAGTTTTTTTTCGGTAAAATGTAGTTTGCCAATTTGTTATGCTCAGCAGTTCCTAATTTGCTTAAAAGAAGCCTAACCTTCTTTCCTTCAGACCACGAGTTGCAGTCCTTGTTATACACGTCCGTATATTTTTTATAATACTCCTCAAAAGTTATCTCTTCATCTAGACTGTACGTGAATATTTCAATTGATTTTCATATTGTATTCTTTGGGAAAGAATCATTTTGTAGATTTTTCTCTTTCCTCTTCTCAGTTATTTCCAGAATTTTGTTTTGAAACTCCCTATGCATCTGTTCCATTTTTTGTTGGAATTGCATTTGTCTATTGAAAATTTCCTCCTGTAGCTGCATCTGGAATGTTTTTTGTTGCTATAATATTGTCATCTTAAAGAATTCCCGGAATATACTTTTGCATTCCTCCATCTTCGCAAAAAGTTTACACAATTCCTAAATACTGTAGCGGGGGGGGCTATGATTTTGCAATTCGTGACCTATTTGAGCAAATTGTATTATCAGGGGGAAAAAAATATTTGTTTTCTCAGTTGAGAATACAACAGATTTTTTTGTCACTAAGTTGATGTCTTGGCTTGCGAAAAACTTTGCTAAGTTTTTTTTTTTTTTTAAGTTTGAATCCGAGTCTTTGTCGCCGAAGTTATTGTGGCAAGCAAATTTTTTCTTCCATATGTGCGAATCCTCGTCGCCAAAGTTGTTGTGGAGTTATTTTCGCAGTGGAGGTTTGTATTTGTACTAAATCAGTCCGACGTACAAAACGTTAGGAACTTGATATAATAGGTATCACGCAGAGTGATCTGGTTGTGGTTGCTGACTACTTTTGTATTTGACTAACTGTCGACTACTGTCATCTGACATCGACTGACCCTCGTTTCTCTTACTACTCCTCCTTATATTAGGTGGGAGAGTCTATTAACTATAGAATAGGTGTGTTTTACCATAACACTGTTGGAACTCATACTAATGAATAAATTCAAATTAAACATGAATGTTATTTCTCTTGATCCTAAAGTGTAACATTTGTGTCAGACTAATTAATATTTGAATTTTCAAGTTGTCTTTCTTTAGGTACAATGTATTGTGAATACTGTCATAATATTAGCAGCATTAAAACAATTTTCAAAACAAAACAAAAATTCTAAAACTTTATAAAATTCTTAGGAAATCCGAATATGTTGTTACTGTGAACCACATAAAAACCTCTAAAAACTGATGATTTCTAAAGCTGAGTCAGCTTTTCATTAAAATGATTAATTGCTTATATATATATATATATGTGTGTATGTATGTGTTTGAGTGGATATGAAATTCAATTGTTTATGGCTTTTTAAACACCAAAATACACTTTCCAATTTGAATTAAGCAAGTTTTTATCACAAAATTTTAAATTTGTATTGTTTTGCTCTGCTTATCATGAGTATTGACTTTTTTATTGTTTCTGTTCTTGCAGAAAGTTACCAGTGATGAACCAATCGACATGGTTCCACCTCTTATTCAATCAGATGATGGAACATCCTATGAATTTCCTGTCACAAATTTATATGAATTGGAAGGTCGTGTGTTTGTGGAACAGTGGTCAATTCCCTATCGCAAGGAAGAATCTCTTGGCAAATGCTTATTGGCGTCAACATACCTAGCAGATGCTGGTGAGTTCTTAAGAACATTCCTTTCCTTGAAAGTTCAAAATGGTTGTTTGTTCTTTGAAATAGTCTGTAATTCTGATTGCATTGTAATATTTTGTGAAAATTTGTTCCAAATTTCTAAAATGCTTCTATTAATGCTAATGACATTTTGTGCACATTTTTCAAAATAAGTAATTATCTGTGGGTCAATAAATGTAATTGAATCAAGAATCATGTTTAAAAAATGGTCTTCTGATTTTGGAATTCTGATATCCCAGCTCTTTCTTGTGATAGTCAAATTCAATCCACTAGTTGAAATGTTGGTTCAAATCTCTCTTACATCAAATTCTATATTTTATGTTTTGTAAAAATGGATGGAAACTTATTTGAACTCTATCTGTTGCAAAATTTACTCTTTTTTTTTTTTTTTTTTTTGAAGTGAACAATTTTGCATAGATACTTATTTAATGTGTCTCACTTGTTAGTCCTTTAAGAATTTTTAACTTATGATGACGCCCCCCCACCAAATGCACTTTTCATATACATGCCTCCAATCAGAGAACAAAAAAGTCATCTAAAGTCATCATGGCAATATATATATATAAAACTTTAAAAATTATGAAAACCTATTAGTACTATGAAGTGCTGTCTGTCTCTTAATGACCAAAACTCACCTCCCCCCACCCCAAAAAATACACATCTAGGTTTCAGTCATGTTTACTGATTTCTCTTCCATTTCATCTTTTCTGTTAGCAAATCAATTGAAGAATTTTGAGAAGTATTTAAAAAAAAAAAAAAAAAAAGTTACAGTAGAATTACATAATCTTTCTGCACCCCCCACACTTAAATTTTTAAATTGATTATTCTTATTATTATTACTTAGTCCAAACTGAACACTCTCCTTTGTAACACAGATAATGTGTGTTTCACTTTAAACAATTAGTTACTAGAAACTTAGTATACACTTAGGTGGCATTTAAGTTGTATATTTCATCTTGTAAATAAAGAGACTTTAAGTGTGTGAAAAGATTAGATTCAACTGAAATCTGACACACTTAAGCTTTTTGAACCAAGTAGTATGTGTAGGCATATTTGGGATGTCTGAGAATTGGTATTGAAAAAAGCTACCAAAAAAAGAAAAAATTTAGATGTGTTTAATAAAAAATTCATTCAAACAAGAACATGATTATCTCCACAAATGTCTTGGTATTTATGCAAAAGCAACTTCAGAAAAAAAAAATTATAAATTTAAATCCATAATCTGAGCAGATATTTTGGTCAGCATTTTTCTTTGACTGCGACTGTGGTACATTTGGTATTTCAGGTAAGAAAGAAGAATGGTGTTTTTTCTGAATATGCTCACAAGAGGTAAGAAGACCATATCTCGGCAAAACACCTTTGTATAATTCTCAGTATTGGGACCCTACTTAGAATTAGCTTTTATTTAATTACTGGGAATTTTTGTTGGACTCTTATCACTTTTTAGAACTGGTTAATTGTTCATCCAGGTGTCAATGTCATTTTGCACTGTAATTACACACTTCTTTCTCACTTTTTATATAAATGTATTTATGTGGACAGGACAATTTGAAGAACATGCCTTATTTCAATAAAAGAATCCTATTGTTATGTTAGTTGTCATTTTGGGAAACTTGCACAAAGGTACAAACTCCTCTTTCCTGTATCATTCTATTGCAAATATGACAGCTTGTAAAACTTTCTTTAATTGACATATATTTTTGGGACTCAAAAATGCTTTCAAACATCTTTTGAAAAGTTTGTTTTGCAATCTATTAGTGAGAGGAGCAAAGTAAATTTCTTAATTCTTTTCTCCATTTAAATGGTAGCATTCTTTTGGCCAAAATAGTTAAGACTAAAATGAATTCTGTTAACTGACAGCTTTGGAAAACATGATATTGAAAAAAAGATCATTTCAGTTTGGAAGATTGCAAAGAGATAAAACACAGACTAGAATAAATGACATAAAATATAAATGGAATCAGCCATTACAAGAAAAAATAATAGGAATCTAAATACCAAAAGGTCTGGCCTTTTTTTTCTCTTAGGACTTTGAGTTTTCATGATGCAATAATAACAATAATTAATGAGTTACTGTTGCATTGAAAGCAAATTGGCTAATTATTTGCAGATGAGTTGATCTGGCTTGTGGATTGAACAGAAAAATACAGATACTAAAAACAACCCAGTTGCCCTGGATAGACAAATTCATTCCATGTTTTACCTTCCTCAAGTTTATATTCAGTCTGTTAGTCTTTAGAATTTTAGCATTTGATTGTATATTTTATATATATGTTCTTGATAAAAAATAACTTAGTATTTTTTATCAAGGACACATTAACAAATTATACAACCAAATGCTAATTCCTCAGGTATCGACATGAAGCCAATTTCAGATCAGACTTAACTGACCAACTTTAAAATTCTTCCGTAAGTTTGCATAGGGTTGCCTTGTGTTATCTTTACAATCGTAAGAATAAAAACTTTGTTTTTGATAATTTAAAATCTAAAACCTTTCTCAATCCAAAAGCCATTCTTAGTTTTTAATGTATTTTTTGTTTTCTTTTCTACATCGTACCATCTTTCTTGAAGACAAGAGAGTCAAATCAACTCGACATTAAAGATATTTTTCACTAATTCTTGTCTAAATGTTTCTACCTCTATTTAATAATAGTTTTTACATTTAATGTATGAAATGGTTATGCAAAAGTAACTATGAAAAGTTCTCGGCCTAACCAAGAAGCCTTTCGAAAAATTGTTTATTTGGTTAGATTTTAGAAAGTGGCTCAATTTGAGCACTTTTCAGCACCCCCATCAATTTAAGACACAGAAGTAGTATAATATTTCTTAATTATAAACTCCATTTGATTTTCATATGAAATATATTACAGCACTGATTTAGTTATGACAATTGTTTTGTTACTTCTGGATATCATGGATTTTATGATACCAAAACTTAAGGTTTCTTTCTCTTCTGTGAATGTGTGCTAGTTAATGCAATTTTGTACCATGTTATCAAATGAATCTGTTTTGTTAAGCAGTCAAAAACTAAAATATCTAGTATTTTCCATTGTAACTCTGTGAGGAAGAAAAGTGGGGCTGACTAATGTTATAGTCTCAAAGTAATTTGAAAATTCTTTACACAGACTTTGTTCAGTTGCCTCTTACAAAGAAGATTGTGTTGCTCCATGAACTCCAGAAGTCAAGGAATAAAAACTGAAATATCTTAGCCTGCAGTTCTGTGCTTAAAAATTTTGGCTACACCTGATGTAGCTTAATTTATCAGTAATTGTTAAAAAGGTTTGTTTTGTTGTAGAGTTTAGTGTTGACCTAAACTTTGCAGTTTTTAAGTTTTAACGTTGAAGAAAATATGCTATGCTCTACTTTTAATCTGAATTTGTTAAAATCCTCTAACACCTACTTTTCTGTTTTTATTTTTTTTTTTTGTATTTTGCTTTTTATAAAAATTGAAATGGAAATTTTTTTAAGGATTTATATTATAGAAATTTCAAATGACTACAAGTTCTATAAATACAATACAACCTTATTGTAGTGGATAGATTCCAAGATTGAAGGACCCCTTCCCCACACTTTTAAATGGTGAAGACAAGTGGGATTACAATGTGCATTTGTACAAATACACTAAGAAATATGTTTTTAAACCAGTTGTAAAAATGAAATGTAGAAAAATATTTCAGTAGTCAAAGAATTAAACTCTTTTATTAATTTGAGCTCAGGATCTGATAATTTTGAGGACATTTAATTAACTTTTTTTATATTTTCAAAATACTATTATTTATTATTATTATATCGTTTTTGATTTATTTATATTTTACTCCTTTGAAATATATTTTGAGAAGTAGTTATACTTTTAGAAATGTTTTGAGCACAAGTTTTGTGGATTGGGTCAACAGTATACAGGGTGTGATGGATAAATTGTCTTCTAAATTATGCAAAAATGAAAATAACATTGGCATCTCATTTTTAACTGATACATTTACCAAATTTACACAAAAATATCTTGAAATACTAAAGAGTAACTTTATTTAATAAACTTGCCATTAGCTTCAACCACGACTTCCAGATGACTTTAGAATCTCCTACAACTCTTCTGGACAGTCTCCTTGTTTAAGTTGATGAATGCTGTCATAATCCTCGCTTTCAGTTCATCTTTGGTGTTACATGGAGTTTTATTGGTCTCTCATTCAACTGCACCCCATACATAATAATCAAAGAAGTTGCAGCCTGGGAAGTTAGGTGGCCACATGTAAGGGGCTATGTGATTGCAGAAATTGTCTGGCAGCCATGACTGGGTTCTCCTACTTGTGTGGCATGGTGCAGTCTTGTTGCCCAACATAGGGTCTTCCAGCAGCCACCCTCTTGACAAGTCACTTAATGTAGACCTTGTTGAGTCTGAGGCCCTGTGAGAAGATGAATGGAAGCATAATGTCACTATCACTAGTGATTACTCCAAACATCATGATGTTGACTGGATATATAATCCAACTCTTTCCGAATTCCCTGCACTTTCCTCAGATTGACACCCACTCTGAAATGTTTGTATTGGAGCTTCTGGCCTGAATGCCAAGCAGTACAGCATATTTCCAAAATTTTGCCAGACTGAATTGTGCTTGTTTTCTCACAGATAGTGCGCAACTGACCCTACTATACTGTGCTGTCAACAAAATCAAAAACAAAAAGTGCATGCATGAAATTAAAAATATAAAATGTATGTATGTATGTATGTATGTATGTATGTATGTATGTATGCATGCATGTATGTATGTATGCATGCATGCATGTATGTATGTATGCATGTATGTATATATATATATATATATAAAGCACCAGGGCATCAACATCTGCAGAATCACCAATTGTGGTTATATATATATCCTGGTGCTTTGCAATTGTATCAATGAAGTTCAACTACACTACACCTATACTGACTATAAAAATTTGAAAAGGAAAATTCCAAATGTATTTTCAAAATTAACTAATATTTA